CATCCTTTAGTCCCTTCACACATTTAATCCTTTTATTTCTACAACAATTTTGTAACTAGAAAAATGGCGTTTTGTCCCACCATGCTAATACCTAGAAGATGACCATAGTTTGTTTCAACCTTAATCCTTAATCCCATCAATCAAAGCTTTCCCACAAGGGGACTCTAAGATTAAAAGGGAAAATTACTACTTCTGATTGAAAAAACAATCATAAAGACTTTTAGACTCAAAGGTGGCTGCCTAATGTTTTAGCTACCCAGCACCCTTCCTCTCTTGGTCTATTCAATATTTTTGGTGGGGGGTGGGGGTAACAACAGTGGCCTCATTTCATCTGTTTATAGTTCAGCTGCTAGTTAGCATCCTGCTCCTGTCAGAGTAAGTCATTCATCCCTTCAATAATTATTGAGCACCTACTTTGCGCCATGCGCTATTCTAGGATCTTGAAATTCAGCAGTGAGCAAAAGTGAAAATGCTCCTAGTTTCTTGGAGCTTAGATCTGTAACAGGGAGAAACTTAGCATGTCTGACTTCACATTGCCTCTATTTCCCTTGGTGCTGGGACCTACGGCTTAGAAGCTTCTGATATGCCCTCCACATAGGCATGTTAATCATTGAAGGAATTTTGCTTACAGCTAAGATTTGTAAAAACTGCTTTTTTGCCCCAAACCTACCTCTCTTGTGAAGATAAGGAAGTACATACAGATAGGACTACGTTATGTCCAAGATTAACGGGAACAACATGGCCAGATCCCTGTACACAAAGATCAACTGACCAAGGACAAAAATTACACGACCTTCCTCGGATGTCTACAGAGGTCAGTCACCTATTGACTCAATCCTCCCCCGCTTCCCCCTTTTGCTGACGTTACAGAAGCTTAAATTTCACGCTGAGGGGAAGTGGTTTTTGGGGACGATAGTCTCCAATCTCAGTGTGCTGGCTTTCCACATAAAGTCACTTTTCTACCCCAACATCTTGCCTCTCATCTTACTGGCCTGTCATGTGGCGAGCAGAGGAGCTTGAACTGGTTCTAAACCCTAGTTGGAGGAGTTGGCCAAGTTACACTAAATGGAGTTACTTTCTAGAATTTTATATGCAGACAGTGAGAAAAATATTCTTTCTTTCCCCTTGATTGAGAGCTGTAAAGGTAATGTTTTATTTATTTATTTAGTTAGTTAGTTAGTTAGTTAGTTAGTTATTTCTAGCTCTACGCCCAACATGGGGCTTGAACTCACCACCCCGAGATCAAGAGTCACATATTCTATTGATTCAGCCAGTCAGGTGCCCCTAAAGATACTATTTTAGAGCTTCCAGCAGCCGTGTCCTCTGCCGTGTGAGGGCACCAGAAGAACGAACGAAGCCAAGAAATACTGTAGAAGCTGAGAAAAAAAGCTAGAGAGCCACGGACCTGGGGCTGTTTTGCATCCCCAGCCCCAGCCCTGTGTTTCCTGGTTACAAGAGACCATATAACGCCCACTGCCTTTTTGTCCTTAACCTATTTGTCTAACACAGACTCTGGTCCCACGTCTTAGAAGATGGGATCTAGGAGCGCTAAAAAGCCAGGTGCAGAAGAGGAGATGCTAAGCTTCTGTCTATGTGTTTCTTCTTCCTTTGCTCCAGCCATACTTTAAGTATTTCACCTGCCCCCACATTTCATTCATTCAACAAACATTTTTTTCAGCAATGACTGTGCATCAGATAGTCTTCTAGGAGCTACGGACACAGCAGTAAACAAAACACATGAAAATCCCTATCCTTACAGAATTCAATTTCTAGTGGAACCAGCTAGACAATAATCAAACTAATGAAGAGAGTGGTGATACCAAAAAAAAATTAGTGGGAAAGGAGAATCGGGTGTTGAGGAAGGGGAGGTAAGGGATTGTTATTTCAGGGTCCAGTGTCCAGCCCCTGGGAAGAGTCTGGACTCTAAGACCAGAGTTAATTTGAAATAAAAAGGAAAGTGAGGGGAAAAGGGAAAAGGTGTTAAAGGATATAGCATTGCAGATTTAGTTTACCCTGTTCTTTTAATAAAGAGATAAAATGTTGTAATGAAGGATGGAGTGTCAAAATTATCCTTCTGGCATACTTTATAAGGGATCCCCATCGAAGTCAGCACTGGTGTCCAATCCACCTGTACCCACCATTGTTCTTGCCTGAAGAGTCACTGAGGGGTCAGAGAGAGTCAGGTTCCACTGGATTGAAATCTAGAGTGGGGAGTCCTCAGCTGAGATACCAGGAGACACTAAAGCCATAAAATCAGGCAACATCCACAACTTTAGGGACAGACAGACACTGTTAGTACACATATACATGCAACATCTATCTACTATAAACACACACATATATATATGTACATCTATTATATATACAAACATCTATTATATATATCTACATACATACATACATGCTATCACTGAGACCCAAGATAAATTGAAATGAGGATCCTTTCTCTGTGAAGGAGAAATGATACCACTATTAACTAAAACCTCAACCTCCTCTCTCTAAAAGAAGAAGTGAGTCATGAATGTGCCCAGGATTGCTGGCCTTCAAAATCAAGGGCCCTCCCCTTCTCTACATCACTTGTTTGTGAAACAAACAGGAGATCAAATTAAGGTGCTCAGAAAGGCAATAGGAGATCGCCTGGATTTAAAACCCAAGAATCTCAGAACCAACCTGTCCAGTGATGTGTCAGTATCTTACGGGCCTACAGACCCCAGAGAGGCAAGCCTGGGAGGTTGGTTCATCAGAGAATCACAAATGCCTTGAAATGTAACCTGCCCCCTCTCTTCCTGTCCAGAGCTCCCTCTATTCATGGGCACCCAATCCACTCTTATTCTACCATCTCATGCTTGGCCTTCCTTTCCTCACTTATAAAATATTATAAAGGTTAGATCATTAAGGTCCCCTCAGCATAAATTCATCCAGCCTTCAGTGTTGGGAACCAAAGGATCACCCCTGCAAGGAAAACTACGCTTCACAAATGCTCACTAAGGCATGGGCTTGGCATCAATCCCAAGGGGTCAAGACGAGTAGGCCCCCTCTAGTCTATAAACAATGATTTAAGAAAGTTTTCTATCTAATTTGAATACAATCCGGTCTCCCCCCCCCAAAAAAAAAAAAAATCCTTTAGTTAGAAGAAAGAGGAACCATTTTTTAGCAGTATCGGGAAATTCTGCAGTATAAAGCCTGTGCTAAGTGATAAGCTACCACTCCCTTCTTGATGCCCTTTGTGGATAACGTACCAGGAAATCCAGAGCCAAGCCACAAATAGCCCCAACCACAGAGGCTTGGAAAGGGACCAACGACTGTATGACAGTATGACTAACTGGTGAAAGTCCCAGGGCCATGCACGAGAGCAGTACCCTGTGGGGGAGGGAGAACCGACTGAGCCCTCAGTGGCCCATCCCCCACCCCCCTCAGACATTGGTCTGATATTCCTCTCAGATCTACTTATGGCAGTTACTGTTTCTAAGTAGAGGGTACATTTCAAGAGCCTAATTCTGTTCCTCTTAAAGATTACATTTTCTATAAGAAGCACAAGGCAGCAGATTACACCCCTGGCCCTCTCCAACATTCCCCTGCCATACAAGCCTCACTGGCAGACCTAGGTCTCCCCACAGACTCCCAAGTTCCCTGAGAACCGGAATGGCTGTGCTCTGATGAGCTTAGCCTTTCCTCTCTATCCCGCATCACAATGCCCCAGGGGATGGCAGAACATGGTCCTTCCCAAGTCCGCAGAGACCTGCTGGCCCAGAATGACTGGGGGCAGGGCCCAGGCGTCTGCATCTGGGCAAGCGCGCTAGTCACCCCCACAGGGGCTGAGAATGACCTAACTGGCAGCAAGTCACAGCACAGGGAACACAGAACCGTAGGCCGAAGGCCCTGGATTCCAGCCCAGCTGTCACCGTTAACTGCGTGGTCTGAGGGAAAGCTCCTTTGAAAAGGAAACTCTGGTTCAGTTTTCTTTTCTTTTCTTTTTTTAAAGATTTTATTATTTATTTGACAGACAGAGACACAGCGAGAGAGAGAGCACAAGCAGGGGGAGCAGCGGGCAGAGGGAGAAGCAGGCTTCCCGCAGAGCAGGGAACCCGATGTGGGGCTGGATCCCAGGACCCCGGGATCATGACCTGAGCTGAAGGCAGATGCTTAACCAACTGAGCCACCCAGGCGCCCCATGGTTCAGTTTTCTAAAGAATGGATTTAAACCTCTTTGTGGCCACTTACTCTCTTGCTGTCTTTGACATTTGAAGACAACACCTTAATGTGACAAGGCCTATCGTGGGGCTATACGATACTCAGGCACAGTTGCATTCACTGAGAGCAGAAGGAGGGAGAGGGAACATGCTTGCCCCTGAATCATATCCCGTGGATGGTCCCTTCGCACAAGCAGGTAGGAGCTGAGGACATCATCCTGCCACATCATACTTGACTGTCTGGAAGTTCTTGAATCAGTTCAACATCTGGGTTGCGGTAGGGTTATCCCTGATGAAGGATTAAAGTAACTTCTCTGGGATACCATGACACTTTCAGACAACTGCAAGTGGTTTAGTTTGGCTACACAAAGGGTACTTGAGTGAAAAATGAGGCTATGGAGGAGGTAAGAGCCAACATCTGGAAAGTCTTCTGTGCTAAACTAATGAAAAGCATAAGACAACAGTGAAAGAGTCTACATAAGGAGTGCCATGATTAGCATTGCATTTTATAACAATCCCACTCAGACAGCACCATGAAGGGCGAGTGGTGGTGGGGACCAAAATGGAGGCAGAGAGACTGGTTAGAAAGTCGATGGATTAGTGTATTTGAGAAGTGCTCAAGCTTGAACCAGGCAAGGTAGTGGGATCACAGAGAGAGGAATGGAGATATACTATTGAAAAGGTGGGCCATACAGGACTTGTGACAGGTTGGATAGAGTAGTTGAAAAAGAAAAGCACCCATTATTGCAAAAAAAAAAAGACCCTCCAATACAACAAAATGCAATGAAACTAGACACTTTTGGTACAAACCTGTCACATCAACAGTCTGACAAACCTCAGGGCACTGTCTTCTCTTGCCATTTTGAATCTCTCTACTGGACAATTCCTCAATTCATGTTTCAGGAAGCTGGTTTCCATTTGGACATGGACCTGCATGGCAAAACCTGGAGAGGGCTTAGAAAAGTGGCTTCCAGGAGCATTCAGGTCTTCATACAAGTGAAAGAAAAGCTGTCAAACATTCACATCACTTTGCTCAGGTTTCTTTGAGAAATGCTCTTTGTCACTTCACCGGGCTCCAGTATATTAACCACCTCCATCCAATGCGAATCAAGAGCAGGGCAAAAAAGGGAGGCATGACACAGGAGGAACGTTCCAGAGAACTTCATACCACTGAGAATCAAGGAAACAAGATTAACTCGATTAATAACAGAAAAAAAAAAGATAAAAGAATAAACTCCCAAAGTACCACACCCTCTCACCTTTCCAACCCCTCCCTTCATTGCACTCACCAAACACTTCCTGGTAAAAGTTTTTTTATGTGTTTGGTTTTATTTTGTTTTATTCCAAAATAATTGATGCTTAAGGTATTGGTTAAGCACACAGAAGTCATAACATGAGAGGCCTCAGGAAATTCATAACATGAGAGTGTCAGGAAATCATGTCCATGTGGCCAAGATCTATCCTCTGCTTTGTTTGGACTCTCCTCCCGCAGCAACAAGAGCCCTGCCGAATCACCAGGCTGGAATGGCAACAGGACACTCTATGGAGAATCAAGACGCTGGAAATTCAGTCTCAGCTGTGTCATGTAATCTCTCTAAGCCTTGGTTTCCTCATTTGTGAAAGGAGGAATTTAAAATCCTGCCCTTGGGGCGCCTGGGTGGCTCAGTCGTTAAGCGTCCGCCTTCGGCTCAGGTCATGATCCCAGGGTCCTGGGATCGAGCCCCGCATCGGGCTCCCTGCTCTGTGGGAAGCCTGCTTCTCCCTCTCCCACTCCCCCTGCTTGTGTTCTCTCTCTCGCTGTGTCTCTCTCTGTCAAATAAATAAGATCTTAAAAAAATAAATAAATAAAATAAAATCCTGCCCTTGTCAACTTCAAGGGGCTCATGGGAGAGTCTGAAAAAGGTAAACCTCTTTGTAAATTATAAAACACTACAGCAACATCAGCTTGTTTGATTATTATTCCTCTTGTTATTGTCGTCAGATGAGGTGTTGGGCTACTCAACTGGCAGGTGTGAGTAATTTAGACCAAATCTGTCTTCATTGCTGAAGTCAATCCCCCCAACAACCCTCTTAAGGTGAATTACTATTGTGTGTCATTTTCATGCAAGAAGGGTATTTGTGGACACCAGTGAGAGCTTAGAACAATAACAAACTTGTGCTTTGTTGACCTCAGATGGACATTAATGAACAAGTGTCAATTTTATTCCAGCTTGTAGAACAAGTGAAACAATAAATGCAGAATTTGGCACATCTCATTATTTAGAAACTATCTGAAGAAAATTCTAGGAAGAAGCTTGGTTTATTCATAAGAACTAATATGTTTGCTTCTATTTTTCTCCTAGTTTATGGCACTTCTCAATATACTGGTAAATCATCTGATTAATAGTCTGAAATTCCATGTGGGTAAAATGGGATTAATAAATTATAACAGAAATCATCATTAGTGAACTCTCTAACAAACCCCAAATTACTCTTTGGTTTCCAAGTTTTTCCTAATGCTCCAAAATAAAAAGTTCAGTAATGTATCAGTGTGACTGGTGATATTAATGTCCTCTGCTATGTCATCCCATCCTCAAGAAAATATGCTAAGAAAGGAATTGATTATCATCAGAATTATATGTCACCATGGCTTAGCTGCACTCTTATACTAACCTCTAGTTCTAAAATAATGCCTCCTATTTTTAAAATGTGGTTGGTATTTTTAAACAAAAGATAGAGCAGCAGTGAGATGGAAAGATGAGCCAAAACCAAAATGGATGAATTATTCTTATATCTCAAACAATAGCAGCAAGTCAGGACATGCAGACTGTTGATGTGTCTCGACAACACTGCACCTCTTAGTGATGAAGAATCTAATCAATAATCTAAATGTTTGATGTGTACAATGTACTAAACTTCCAGATCACGGCTGAATTTCCCTTCCTTTTAGTCAAACTGGACTGGACTTATGTACACCTAGGCAAATGCAAACAGGGAAGGGTTGGTGTGTAACAAATGTGACCATAGCATAATAGTCATTAATCAAGTCATTTTAGAATCACAAATTATAAAATAACAAGGGGGAGATATCTGTACCAGCAATATGGTTGACTAGACTTTACAGAAACTGCTCCTGGAACGACCCTAACACTTAAAATTCTGCATGAAATCTTTTTAAACCCTTTTTAATTCATGGCTGAGCCAGTGAAGAAAGAACTATGTAAGAGCTGAAAGCAGGCATTAGCTTACCATTTACCCTAGGAGGTCCAGAGCCTGGGATTTAACAGACCTAAGGGAGACGGGAAACAAATCTGTGAAAACAAGGGAAGAAGTCAGAGACTTCTAATTGAATCTGAAGCTCCTCCTCCTACCAAGGATTTTCACCCTTGAGGGAGACAATAGGAATACATGACTCTCTTGACCTTGGCTGTGGAAGGAGTTGGGAAAAAGTCTCCCCTTAGAATTCCAAGATATGGAAGCAGTCTGAGTGTCCATCAATAGATGAATGGATAAAGATGTGGCATATACATAAAATGGAATATTATTCAGCCATAAAAAAGAATGAGATCTTGCCATTTGTGACAACATGGATGGACCTAGAGGGTATTATGCTAAGTGAAATAAGCCAGACAGAGAAACACAAATACCATATGATTTCACTTACATTTGGAATCTAAAAAATAAAACAAACAAAGTAGAAACAGACTCATAAATACAGAGAACAAACTGGTGGTTGCCAGAGGGGAGATGTGTAGGGGGATGGGCAAAATGGGTGAAGTTGGGGGGGAATGTTCAGCCTTCCAGTGATGGAATGAATAAGTCCCAGGGATGAAAGGTACAGCATAGGGAATATATTCAATGGTATAGCATTATGTAGTGATAGATGGTAGCTAAACTTCTGGTGGGCATAGCATAATGTATAAACTTGTCCAGTCATTATGTTTTACATCTGAAATGAATATACCATTATGTGTCAACTATACTTCAATAAAAAATGGCATGTCAAAACTCATAAAACACAACTAGAGACAAATGTATAATTTTAAAGTATGTCTTAGCAAAGAAGGCTAAAATCAATGAGAAAAAACATCCATCTCAAGAAAGTCTAAAAACATAGAAAATTAAAATAAAGCAGAAAATGTAAGATAATGAAGAGAAGAAATTAATGAACTAGAAATAATACTTACAATAGAAAATATTAACTATGCCAAAACTTGTGTGCTTAAAAAAATAATAAAACTTATCAACTCCTGGAGATATTAGCTGAAGAAAAAAGAAGAGATGAATTAGATAAGTTTCTAGAAAAATAAAACTTACAAAAACTGATACAGAAGAAATAATAAATCTGAACAGTCCATAACAATTTGAAAGTCTGAGTCTGTAATTAAAAACCTATACAAAAAAAATCATAGTCTCACAGAAAGCTGACTTTACAGGACAACATTACCAAAGAATATACAAAGAGAACACTAATATAATTTATGAAGCTTCATTATCAAAGCTTGCTAAAAACATTGCAAGAAAAGAAACCTACAAACCAAACCTCACTCATGAACATAATTGCAAGAAATCTTAATATATTAGCAAAACAAACCTGGTAATTTATTTGAGAAGGCAGGGGAGAGTTATGCAAGAAACAAAGTAAAAGACTTTACTTATAAAGATTGAGAACTACATTAAATTAGATTGTGCATAAGAAAACAAACAACCCAATTAAAAAATGGGACAAAGACCTTAATAGACACCTTGTCAAAGAAGATATACAAGTGGCAAATAAGCATACATCATATATCATCAGGGAAATGTAAATTAAAACAAGATACCACTACATACCTATTAGGATGGCCAAAAACCAGAACACTTACAACAACAAATGTTGGCAAGGATGTGGACAAGGGCTCTCATTTATTGCTAGTGGGAATGCAAAATGGTACAGCCACTTTGGAAGACAATTTAGCTGTCTCTAACAAAATTAAAAATATCCCTATATATGATTCAGCAATTGCACTCCTTGGTATTTACCGAAAGGAATGGAAAACTTTTGTGTGGCTTTGTTCACGCAAAAATTGCACATGGATGTTTATAGCAGGTTTATTCATAATTGTCAACCAAGATGTCCTTCAGTAGACAAATGGATAAACTGTAGTACATTCAGAAAATGGAATATTATTCAGTGCTAAAAATAAATGAGCTATCAAGCCATGAAAAGACATGGAGGAACCTTAAATGCATGTTGCTAAGTGAAAAAAGCCAGTCTCAAAAGGATACATACTGCATGATTCCAACCATACGACATTCTTGAGAAGGTAAAACTACAGAGACAGCAAAATGACCCGTGATTTCCAGGGGTCTGGGGTAAGGAGGAATGAATAGGTGGAACACAGAGAATTTTTAGAGCAGTAAAACTATTCTGTATGACACTACATGTGTGGCTCCATGTCCTTACACATTTGGCAAACCCATAGGATGTATAAGACATAGAGTGAGCCCTCATGTAAACTATGGACTTCGGTTAATAATAATTTATCAATTTTGGTTCAGCAATTGTAACAAATGTTCCACTCTAATGAGAGATGTAGTCATCTGTGGTCACATGACTAGAAAGATTTGATGAACCTGAAAAAAGTCTTCCAAGTTGACCAAAGTCTGATGCAATGGGACATGGCAGCACGCATCCTGGGAACTGGGAGGATGTGTGGGCTTTCGAATCTGAAAAGCAGCCTTTGACTTGCTCTTCTACCACTTCCTACGTATGTGGCCAGGAATTTATCCAACTACTCATAGCCTCAGCAAAAGAAAAGATTTGATAGAATAACATCTTACGGGTATTTAAATTACAAGACAAGATCCCCTCTGTCAATGGGAATTAGAAGTCCGAGACCAAATGAACCAGTAAAAATACCTTTCATGATTCCTTTTCTGAGATCTGTTTAGCACACCTGATCGCACTTTTGTAGGGAGACTTCTCTAAAAACAACTGAGGTAATGAGCTAGAGACAAATTGCCAATTGGTGAAATGCTTCTATTAGTTGAATTTTCATATTTTTATCCTTATCTTTTTATCTCTTAAACTAAGTAAATAGTAAACTAAGAGAATAATTAAGACCTGTGTCTAAACTGATGGCATTATAGACACCATGAAGTTATTCATAGTCAGAGTTTCTGCCTGGCAATCTGATACAGTGTCAAGTCAATTTCAGTTTCTTAATTTCCTTCACATAGTAATCACTTAAATAATTGAAACACATTTTCTAAGTCATATCCTTCCCTATTTATTCATAATTATCCAATCAATTGAAGTACTTTCCTGTAACTTCAACCATAATATAATAAGTGCTATAATCAGATAAGTTTAAAGTTTAATCAACTCAGACTTCTATGTCTATGGAAATGTTTTAGTAATCTAAATTAAAATCACCTACGATAATTCACTCACTCCTCTCAATGGTATTTGGTAGTTCAAGGAGGCACACATGTCATGGGGGTTAGCATTCAGTGGCTCTGTATTGTATTAAGCAAAAGTCATTTTCTTTAAGCACAATGTAAATTGCATTTTAATATCTCTATAGATTTCTATATTGGCAAGAGGAAAGCATAGCAAAATTCCTAAATAAATTTGAACAGAATTGCCCAGTGCTCTTAATCATTTCATCTCCATATTTTAAGAATATGAATTTGCTTGCTTAAAAGCCATCTGGTGAAATTCTAGTGCTTGTATTTTGAAGGGGAAGCCAGCCCAATTTCATTAGAGTCCATGGTGACATAGTCAAAGTAAGCATATGCAAATTGTTTATGCTCTGGGAATACTCCACTCTGTTGTAAAAATCCAATTAGATTATATGTATAATACATAATAGATTACACACACACACACACACAGAGGTCCTTGGAGCTATTGGAGGCAAAAGTCTACTAAATCAGGAGGCCACTTCTGCATCTCTCAGGATACAGTGGTATCAAATACTGAAAACCAATTGCTGCTTTTTTCCAATTATACATTCTATTAACATTTGAAAAATGTAGGAAATTATAGGGAAAGAATAATAATAGTTTGTAAACCCACTATTAAAAATTTACTTATCTTTAACATTTGAAAATATAGAAAAGTATATAAAAGGAAAGAAGAATCCCCTGTAATGTTGATATCCAGAGATAATCACTTTTAACAGTTTGGTATACACACTTACATATCTATGTACAAACACACATATATATAAAGACTTACTTATATCATTTTTTTTAATTGGGATTTTATTACTATATATGCAGCTCCTTACCTGGAGTTTTTCACTAGATATTATACCATTAGTTTTCTTTTCATATTATTAACTATATTTTCAAAACATGTTTGTTGTTGATGGCTGTAAAATATTTCTACTAGACTATAAGCTCTATGAGCATAGGGACTATATCTTGTTCATACATCCAGTACCAAGTGTGCCATAATTTATTTAACCATTTTCCAATTGTTTCACATTTAAGTGGTTTCCAAATTTTCACTGTCATAAATGTTACAATATTCTTTATTGTGGGAAAAATGAATTTTCCCACTATTTCCCCTTTGCTGACAGCTGTTTGGTTTCTCTCTCTCTCCCACCCTCAGGTATTTCACCTAATGATCCTTCGAGATTTTGTGATGCAGATTTGGAAGGAAAGAAGTGAAGTTGAGGTTGAAGAATAAGAGCTGTGTGTTCTAGGACTGGAAGAGGAATTTTCTGAGAATATGAGGATAAGATGTGGGAGTAGCTATGTGAGAGAAATAGATGGGAGATGAGAGCTATTGCAGTGGTCTCTCTAACCTCCTCACTGTGTTTTAAAATGGCAAGTATGAAAACGGAAATGGAATCAGTTTTTTGTTTTGTTTTGTTCTTTTTGCCAGCCCACCATTCATCTTTGACTATTAGGGCACCCTAACTTCTGAAACAAACAACCCCCCAGATTTCATTAAAGTTCATTTCTTGCACATGTCACTCTCTAATGGATGTTCGGTGGGTGGCCTTCATGGGATGACGTAGGAACTCAGCAACTTCCATGGATGGATCTGACATCCCCCAGGGCCTCTGAGTCTTGCACTGGTCCTTCAGCATCCTGCATGGAGGTGAGCAGAGAGAATACCAATCCTGCAGGAGTTTTAAGGGGCCAGAGCTGGAGATGGCATACATCACTTTTGCCCCATTCCATGGCTGAGAATTCAGTCACGTAGTCCCCACTGAGCTGCAAGGGAAATCGTGAATGTAGTTTATGGCATCCCAGAGATGTCAATCTCTGCTATCCCTCCCTATTCTATGGAGTCGTGGTAAAAACAAACAAAAAAAAAAAAAAAAAAAAAACAACAACTGTTACTCGAGGTATCAGTGTTGTCCTGGTCAAATGGTGGACAAGTAAGGCTATTCAGAATCTTCTTTCCAGGTATTTGAATCTTGAGTAAAGTGACCAAAGGATGGGAAGCAGTTGGGACTAGTTCATCCTGATGGTGGTGCCCTATGGGGATCATTCTTTTGTTCCTTTGACCATCTTTTACAAGAACTAGATATTCAACTTTTCCTTCATATCCATGGTTTATCCACATCCTTCTAACAAATTCCCTTGTTGCCTAAGTAAGCCACAGTTACTTTTTGGTGCTTATAATCAAAGGACCCTAATGAATATAGAACCTGAATTATTTTGAAATTGTGTTTGGTTGTCATTGTTATTAATCTGTGTTTCTTTGCTCATATAACAACTTTTGGATGGTGGCTCTATAAAGGTTACAGAAACAATGTTGAGATAAATTGATTTGTATACAAATCTTTACCTTATTTCTGATCATTTTCCCAAGCCGAATGCCTAGATCAACTGTTTTTAAAAAGCAATTTAATACTAATTATATATTTCAGTCATTTAAATATCAATATGAAATCTTTTCGTATCATCAGCATTCCATTTTAGCTTCAGAAAATTGTATTTTCATCATTTCAAGTAATAGCAAGCCCAAGAGCACTCACCACATAGTCTAGTATTAAAGTTAGATTGTTGAATCTTATCATGAGTGAGGAAATCCTTAGAGAAATTCTAGATCCAGTATGAGCTTTCCTGGAAGCTTCCCTGGGTTGCAAGAGGAAGGTGGGGAAAGTGTGGCCAGATCACAGGTTGCTGCAGCTTAGTTGGTCTGGTTTCTCTTATTCTTGTTTCCTTTCCTCTAACCGGTGATGTCTCCTAGCATTCATGAAGCCCCAGGCCACTAGAGTTCTGCACCCAGAAGATAATCACGTCGCTAAGAATTTGCCCGTGAGATCTCACTGTTGCATGAAGACAAATTCTTTCAGAGAGGATGGGCTTCTCTTCTTGGCTTAGGAAAGGGAATGAGAACTGTGAAATCAGATATCTATGCATCCCCAAAAGAGAAATACGGAAAAAGCTTTTAGAAAAAAATTCCATAGAGAAGAAACGTTTTTTTGACGCTTGCATACATAGGGCAAATCTTATGTAATAATATTCAGCTTTGAAATTAGGGTAACTGTCACCAGTTAAAATTTAACTCAGCTATGGCCAACTCAGCCAAGTATTTTGTTGTTGTTGTCAGAGTTGTTGTGCTGCTTGAAAAATGCATTCTTTATCAAAATATTAGCATAAAATATTTAATTAGTATTTAACCCAAAATATGATATAATATCTTCTTAAAGAACAAGCACAAAATTAGCTAAAGATAGACATTTTTAACAGGCAATACAAAAGTGTGACCAAACACTTTTAATAAAATTAAATTGGAAAGTCTTTCTTACCTTGAAACCAAAGTCAGAAGAAAACAAAAAAGCTTTTTTTAAAAGCCACCTCTCAGAAAGACCCAGTATAATCATGTGAGCAAATCCTTTAAAAAAAGGTTTTTTTTAAGATTTTATTTATTTATTTGAGAGAGTGAGCAAGAGAGCACGAGCAGGGGGTAGTGAGGGAAGAGGCAGAGGGCCTCCCCACCGAGCAGAGAGCCTGATGCGGGACTCAATCCCAGGACCCTGGGATCATGATCTAAGCCAAAGGCAGACGCTTAATCAGCTGAACCACCCAGGCACCCAATCTTTAAAAGCCAAATAGGATAAACTTCTCTGCTGAGCCCTGGAACAGTTTAAAGGAAAAGGATACATTTCAAATACATGTTATAAGCAACATGACATTATTGCCAAATCTTAACAAAAAGAAAGCTACTAACCAAACTCACTTATGAATATTGACCAAAAAAACCCTAAATAAAATATTAGAAGAGATCATTGAATGGAATACTGAAAGGATAATAGATCATGAATAAGTGTAATTCATTCTAGACTGCAAGGATAGTTTGACATTAGTAAATAAATTAACATACCATACTCTCTTAGCTGCCAAAAACATTTGTTTGATTCCAAATATATTTGAGATTTAAAAAAAAAAAACTATGATGGGGGCGCCTGGGTGGCTCAGTTGGTTAAGCGACTGCCTTCGGCTCAGGTCATGATCCTGGAGTCCCTGGATCGAGTCCCGCATCGGGCTTCCTGCTCGGCAGGGAGTCTGCTTCATCCTCTGACTCTATCCCCTCTCAGGTGTTCTCTCTCTCTCATTCTCTCTCTCTCAAATAAATAAACAAAACCTTTAAAAAAAAACAAAAAAACAAAAAAAACTATGATGTAGGATTGAATGGCTATTTCCTGAATATTATAAAATAATATACACTGTAACTCTAAAGCTGGCATTATGCTTAGTGCGTAAATAATGGAAGTATTTCCTTTAAAGACAGAAATAAGATAAGGATATCTTAGATCAGTACAATTATTTAATATCGTTCTGAACACTGAAGAAAATGCAATTAACCAAGAAAATGAAATGAGGTATACCTACTTGAAGGGAGAATGCAAAATTATTAGTATTTCCAGCTAATATAATTTTCTACTTGTGAACTCCAGGAAAACAAACTGCAAAACTTTTAGAACTGTAAGATAGCTAGTTTCAAAATAAAGATACAAAAATGCAATTGCTCTTTTCACATACCAACCTTAACTATGAGAAAATTACCACATTTACAATAGTAACTAACAACAAAAACTCAAATTAGAAAATAAAAAGATGTACTCATCCCTATTGTATTCAGCAAAAATAGTAATGACAGCCACGGGAATAGCATGCACGGTACTGGCACAGGAAAGACAGACAGACTGCCAAGGAGCAGAGTCAAAAATCCCAGAAATGCTCAAGTATCATGAGAATTTAGAGAACAAATGTGTCACTTCAAATCACAGGGGAAAGAAATGTTATTCACTAAATAATTTGGGACAACCAGCTAGCCACTTTAGGGAAAAGTCACATTCATAAATTAAATTCCAGTTGGATAAAGAGCGTTAATAAATGGAAAAAAATGTATGAGAAAACAGTCCCAAGAATAATAGAGTGGAACGTCTCTTCCTTAACTTGACACCAAAGCCAGAAACCATAGAAATTTACATAGAAGTTAAATATTTCCTGGCAGCGAAAACAAAAACAAAATACCACAATTATAGAAGTTTAAGAGACTTAGGGAAAACTATTTAGTAACACACATGTTGGACAAAGACTTACTACCACTGTATGAGGAGCTCTTACAAATCAATTATTTAAAAAAAAAATGGTCAAAGACTATAGTCAATTTAGAAATAAAATAAATTAGAATGGACCAAAAAATGATACATTCAGTTTATTTTCTAACATGCAAATAAAACAATTTTTATGGTAAACTTACCCCCCCCCATTTTTTTTAATTGAGGCATAACTGACATATGGCATTATATTAGTTTCAGGTATACGACTTGGTGATTTGATATTCGTATATATTGTGAAATAATCAACACAATAAGCCTAGTTAACATCCATTACCATACATAGTTATAGAATTCTTTTTTCTTATGATGAGAACTTTTAAGATTTACTCTCTTAGCAACTTTCAAATATGCAATACAGCATTATTAATCACAGTTACCATGCTATACCTTACATCCCCATGACTTATTTATTTATAGCTGGAAGTTTGTACTTTTTGACCACCTTCACCCATTTCACTCACAACCCAACCTCTACCTCTGGAAACCACCAAGCTATTCTCTACATCTGTGAGCTTGTTTTTTTGTTTGTTTGTTTTTGTATTTAGATTCTACATATAAGTGAGATTATATAGTATTTGTCTTTCTCTCTCTGACTTAATTCACTTAGCATAATGCCCTCAAGGTCTATCCATGTTGCTGCAAATGGCAAGATCTCGTTCCTTTTTATGGCAGAATAATATTCCACTGTATATATATTCCAAATTTTCTTTATACATTTATCTGTCAATGGACATTTAGGTTGTTTCTGTATCTTGTCTATTGTAAATAATGTTGCAATAAACATGGGAGTGCATATATCTCTTTGAGTGTTTTTGTTTCTTGTAGGTAAATACCCAGAAGTGGGTTTGCTGGATCAGATGATCATTCTATTTTTAATTTCTTAAGGAACTTCCATACTGTGAACCTCCATACTGTGATAACTGTATCAATTTATGTTCTCACCTAGAGTACACAAGGGTTCCCCTTTCTCCACATCCTCGCTAAGATGTGTTGTTTCTTACCTCTTTGACAACAGCTATTCAAACAGGTGTATTTCCCTGATGATTAATGATCAGCATTTTTTCACATATCTTTGGCCATCTGTATGTCCTCTGTGGAAAAAATTCTTCAGATCCTCTGCCCATTTTTCAACCATATTTCTTGCTATTGAGTTGTACAAGTTCTTTATATATTTTGTACGTTAACCCCTTACCAGACATATGATTTGCAAATATTTTCTCCCATCCAGTAGTTTGCCTTTTCATTTTGTTGATGGTTTCCTTTGTGTGCAAAAGCTTCAGAGTTAGATGTAGTCCTACTTGTTTACTTTTGCTTTTGTTGCTTTTACTTTTGGTGTCAAATCCAAAATCATCATCTTCAAGACCTATGTCAAGAAACTTATTGGTTATATTTTCTCCAGGAGTTTTATAGTTTCAGGCCTTACATTCAAGTCTTTACCATTTTGAGTTTATATTTGTGTATGGTGTAAGATAGTGGTCCAGTTTCTTTCTTTTTGTGTATGTGAGACTTTCCAGCTTTCCCAACACCATTTTTTGAAGACACTGTCTTTCCCCCATTGTATATTCTTGACTCCTTTGTCATAAATTAATTGAACATATTGGCATGGTTTATTTCTGGGTACTCTATTCTGTCCCATTGACCTATGTGTTTTTTTTATGCCAAAACCATACTGTTTTGATTACTATAGCTTTGGAATATAGTTTGAAATTTAGGCGAGCAATGCCTTCAGCTTTATTCTTCTTTCTCTAGATTGCTTTTGCTATTTGGGGTCTTTTGTGGTTTCATACAAATTTTAGGATTGTTTGTTCTATCTCTGTGAAAAATACCATTAGCATTTTGATAGGGATTGCATTAAATCTGAAGATTACTTTGGGTAATATGTACATTTAACAATATTAATTCTTCCAATCCATGAGCACAGTGTATCTTTTCATTTATTTGTGTCTTCTTCAGTTGCTTTCACTAACATCTTATAATTTTCAGTGTATAGGTCTTTCACTTCCTTGGTTAAATTTATTCCTAAGTATTTTGTTCTTTTTGATGCAACTATAAATGGGATTATTTTCTTAATTTCTCTTTCTGATCGTTTGTTATTATGTATAGAAACACAATGGATTTTTGTATCCTGATTTTGTAGCCTGCAACTTTTTAAAAGAAATCTTTTAAAACCCTAATACTGGCATCAGATGAATAATAGCCAAATATTGCTGTAGGGGAGGCAAATTTTTACCTCTACCCTCTTAGGGTTTTCCAGCTGGGCCTGAGAATTAAACTGACACAGAATATTGACAGGAGAAAAGCACACACATTTATATTAAGTTTTACATGATGTAGGAGCCCTCCTAAAGAATGAGACCCAAAGAACTGGTAAAACCTAGAGACTTTATAGTAGGTTGAACAAAGAGAGGCAATTGTAGAAAAGTAACTATATGGGGAGCCTAAGGAAGATAAGATTCATTTTAACAAGGTCTGCTTGAACAGATTTCTTTCAGCCTCAGTTCCCTGTCGCTGTTGATAAGAATGTTTTCCTTCCTCCTGGTACAGGGAGGACATCTTTCACATGGGAGTTTTATCTCCTACCTTCAGGAATAAAAAGGAGGGTCAGAGTGCCCATCCTGCATCTGCCATCTTTCAAGTGCCTTTAATTCAAAATAATCAATATACCAAAGCAGCACACTTTAGGGTGATATGCTCTGCACTGCTTCTTTGGCAAAGGAGACAGAATATTGGCATTTTCAAAAGCTGTTGATAGGAGTATGAATGGATACAACCTTTCTGGGAGGCATTTTTATCAATTGCAATTATAATTGGGCAACCCATTTGATCTAAAAATCTTATAACTAGAAATTCTCCACAAAGAGCTAGTTACACAATAGGGAAAATATATGTGCATAGATATACCTGTTTGCACCATCATAAAAGCAAAATCGAAAAGATAAAGCAAAACAAAATGTCCATCATTAAATGATTGGTTAAGTAAATAAGATATTCTGCTATCATTAAGAAATAAGGTAGTTTTTATACAGTGAGGTAGAAACATGAAATCAACATGTTTTCAAGAGAGAAAAAAATAGGCTGTCGTGTAGGATGAATTTATTTATAAAGCATGCATATGCCCACATTTCTATGTGTGTGTCCATGTACATTTAGAAATCTAGAAGTTTATCTCTGGATGGTGAGATTTTGGTGATTTTATTGTCTTAGTAGATTTTTTGCATTTGTTTTTATATTTTGTTATTTTTTGTTAATGAGCATGTATCATCTTAATGACAAAATATTAAGCTTTTTCAAAATAAGTCACTATACCTACCAGTTCCCTCTTTTCACTTTGTCCCTCCTTTGCACCAATTTTACCACATTTTTTCAATGCTAAGTAGCATATGTTTTTTCCCACCACCATGCATCTTAAAATAGATGGCATTTCACAATTGCTGTTGGCCAGGGGACCAACGTGACATAGTTGTCATTGCCTGTGCATGACTTGGCCATGGTTATTCATATTGCTATGACTTCAGTTAATTAGACACATTATTGGTTCTACATCTGTTGAGTGTAATTGACATTTAAAATTGCTTTGGTTCATACTCCTGTATCACTAATCCTCTCAAAACCAGGGAGCTTAAAACAACAATCACTTTATTGTTTCTCACAGTTTCTGTGGGCCAGGAATTCAGGAAGGGCTTGGCTGGGTGGTTTTGGTTAAGAAATATCTCATGAGGTTGCAGCCCCTTAGAAGCTGGAACCCACACAGCAGAGGTGGGGGAAGCTGGAGCAGCTCGAGACTGGCAAGCATCTTTGTCCCTTCCTGTAGGGGGCTTGTCCACATGGTCCCCCAGGATTTGAGTGAGTTTGGGCTCCCTCACAGCATGGCAGCCACAGACCACTGAGACCGTTAACACAGAGGCCCTGGGCTCCAGAGCAAATATTTCAGCAAGCCAAGTGGCATCTGTATCATCTTTTCAGACCTAGCTTCAGAAAT